ATAGTGCGGTGAGGGCTTGGTAGCAAATGACGCAAATGGGGTGTAGCTTCCCCTTCCCCACACATGCACATGGTGACATAATGAATGGCATTGTGCCCCCAAAACAGTCTGCTGCTATAAGCCTACAACTGCACTGACACGGAACTAAAATTTGGAGGGGGAGCGATGTGGTGAGGCCCGTGAGCGCGGGCCTAGCCCCCCCCTTCCCACATATGTGCATGGTCACATTATAAATGACCCCCAAAATAGCCGGCCATTTTGCAGTGGGACACAACCGCTCTTACCAGTACACACTCTCATTGACACCTGAGGGACTAGACTCTAAATTTTGATGACCGGGCAGCCAAACAAAGACTCTGCCAACGTACACACTGCAACAAGCAACTGGAAACAAAGACCCCACACATGCACATGGTCACATCAGTGACATCATGAATGGTGGGGGAAGGGGGGCGACTGCGGGGGGACTGTTGGTTCTTGTTAGTAGGTCAGAAGGAAGGGGCTGGGATATGGTTGTTTCTATGGGATGCTGGACCCGGTTTCCAGCAGGTGCTGCTCCCCACCAATAGATGGAGCGCGTGTGCTTAAAAAAAAAAAGAAAAAAAAGGAAGGGGCTGGGACGACGCAGGCCGGTGCTGGAGTGGTCTTGCTCTGTGACCCGGAGAGGAGCATGAGGCTTGGGGAGTTCTGTCGAGGGAGGAAGACAGAACCAGCACTTTCGACGTGGCCCTAGCTGGGGTGTATCCCTGTCATCGTTTTGAGGCGTGCGGCTGTGGGGAGTTGCCGAGGGAGGAAGGCACTCCTCACCATTGTCGCTAGGTTGGTCGGTACTGGGGCTTGGTGGGGTCCTGTAACTCTAGCATGGGAGGGTATGAGACCAGCTGTGTGTCGCTTGAGGACTGAACACGAGACCTGTAGTTTTCTCCAATAGTTGCGGGGAGAGTGGGAGGTTGGTTGTCTGTGCAGTCCGTACTAAGGTTCTCTGGTTCTGGATCCCGGGTAGTACTTAGGCATTACATGTAACTGGGGTGTAGGAGTTCAGAGAAGGTCACAACGGGACTGACATCCGAATAGCTAATTTATTCTGTGCCCCTGTTTTGCGATGCCAGAACGACGCTGGCCGGAGCTGGGGCGTCCCCCTGTGACCTGCAATTCGCAGGAGCATGAGGCCTTGTAGAGAGATCTGGGGTTTGCCGAGGGTGGAAGGCAAGCCAGTGGTAAATCGGGGGTGGCTGCGTAGTGGCGAGAAGAGATTCAGCTATGGGTGATGTTGGTATGGTTGGTACTGTCCCTGAGTGAGTATGTCCCGGGGAAAGGAGGGCTAGGAATTACCTTAGGAGTTTAGTTCCAAAAATTTTCTTAGCATTTCTCAAGACTTTCAAAAAATGTTGCAATCTGCTCTTAAAAAGAGGGGGTAGTCTGTTCTGCCCTAAAAATGTCTCCTGGATTCTGGGGACTCCTGGCAACCTTGTTCAGGGGTACTGAGGCTGTTATACTTGGTGACCTGCGGCTGTTCGATGCCAGAACGACGCTGGCCGGTGTTGGGGCGTTGCCCTGTAACCTGCTGAGGCAGGAGCATGAGGCCTGGTAGAGAGATCTGGGGGTGCTTTGGGGGGGCACTCCACGGGACAACCAAGGGTTGCTGCTGGGACGACGCTGGCCGGAGCTGGGGTGAGTTGTGTTGCCCTGTAACCCAGCAGGATGAGGGAGTGTGAGGCCCGGAAGAGCTCGGCAGGGAGTAAGACAGTGTCGGAGAACCTTGGAAGGTTGTGTTAAGGATTTCGCGGGTTCAGAAGCATTTGCAGGACTTCGGCAGGCTATTCCCATATCTTTCGAATAACGTAAGTTTTCTCAGATGGCTTTTCAGCCAAGCCGGGTAACAGGTAAGAGAGGGATTGAGGATAGTGAGAGAAAGACACCACGCATCCTACTAGTGAAGGGGCCAGCTGGTAGGATAGAAATAGGGCATAGCAGCAGAAGAGATGGTGGCTTTGCTGCAGTAAGTCTTGCCGGAGTGAGGTAAGAGGACTGATGGTGGATGCTCCAGGGTTTTCCGAACTTTGTCTAACTTTGAAGTTTCCCGCAAAAAGATCTGGAATAGTTCTAAAATTCTTAGTAGGCTCCTAGTCTCATTTTCATGGAATTTTCTGAATTTTCTGATGACTTTTCTGAATGTGCTCGTTATGGGACGCTGGGCCCGGTTCCCAGTTTGTGCCAATTTGTGTGGATATGGTTCCATCTATGGGACGCTGGACCCGGTTTCCAGCAGGTGCTGCTCCCCACCAATAGATGGAGCTTGTGAATTTTCAAAGGAAAAAAAAAAAAAGAGAAAGTCCCTCAAAGACCTGGTCACACATCTGCTGCTACAATTATACACTCTGGAGTCTGGACTTGGAAACAACGCTTCCACTTCTGACGAGTCCACAGTCAGAGAAACACCCTTCAAGAAGGAGGAATAACTCGTAATCACATGTCAGCCATACGTCGGCGAATACCTTCACCAGCCTTGTACACGCCATCCCTAACACTATATGTCCCAGTTCTGTGGGCATGACAGTTGGGGGGGGTCGAGGAGGTGGTTACATCACAACACCCCCCCCAAAAGAGTCCGTCAAAGACGTCATCATGGTTCTGCTGCTACAAGTATCCACTTGAAGACTCCTTAACACTGTTAACAGTATATTCTGCAGTTCCGCGTACACGAGATTTTGGGGGGCAGGGGTGTCCCTAACACTGTTAACAGTATATCCTGCAGTTCTGCGTACACCAGATTTTGGGAGGCAGGGGTGTGGGGAAGGGAGGAGGGGTACCCCGGGTACCCCCCCTACCCCAAACATGTGCATAGTCACACGACTCACATCATGAACGGCCCCCAAGAAAAAGTCAGCCAAAGACCTTGTCATGAACACACATACTCTGGACTCAGAAACAGTGCCTCCAATTCTGATAACTGGCACCACCTAACTGTGGCCAATGGCATAACAGAGCCCAAATTTTTGCAACTGAGCCACACCTTCGTGGTCATGCCTCATGGCAATCGTTGTACTTGTCCTTGGACTCCTTGCCCCTTCCTCCCAACCCACAGCTGAGCTCCACAAATGGAACCACACTCTGCTGTCTCTAAACCGAAGGGTGATGGTGCTGAACTATCCGGTGCAACAGCATCATGCATGGCTATGGAGAAAACGATTCACCCATAGACACACTCCACAGGCACGCAAAATAGAACACTAACCAAGGCATAAAAGGGAACAAACACACAAGCACCAATAAAAAAAGATTATAGCACACAAAGATGCTTAGATCCAACCAAGGAGGTCAACAAGGTATAACCAAGTAGTATGATCGCACTCCATCGACAGAGAAACAAACACCCTTAAGAGGTGATAATTTACTTCTCTTCCACGTACAGTCATCCCTCTACGCGTACCCCGCACAGTACCGTCACCAAGAGGTAAGTTCAACATCCCAAGGCCTCTATGATCTCTATCCACGGCCGACACTTTCCTTCCTTCACAAACGACGTGTCGACCTGATCCCTATTCTACCAAAATACTGTGTGCCTCACAGCGCTCCTCACTGCAAGCCAACATGCCGAGGACACACTGCATCCTTGCCTCCTCCAGAGTCCAGCCTCTGTGCTACCGCACTTGTCCCAGTATATCAGTCAGTCTCCGTCAAGGTTCTCCCCTGAGGATGACCAATTGCCTGGCGTCTGTTAAAACACGTGTCCTGATGCTGCCAGAGAGGAGGTAATCCGTGCTAACTTCTAAGCCTTAGAGTTTTGCCGTTGCCCCCCATGGCTGCGGCCTTGGTACCGATGACCGCCCCCTGATGACTGCCTCCTGTTTTGCTTCATCAATTCAACCTTGACTATACATTCTCTCCTCTCTTCTTGTGGTGGGTGCTTCCTCCTTAGAGTGCTTACCTATTGATGTCTGTTGGTACGTGTCAGGTCTAACCTAATATATCACACAACATCAGTCTGAGACTGAGTTCGAACTGTGATGCAATTTTTACAAGGGGTTACCTAATACCCCTATTAAAGGCTTTTATTCTTTTTCCTTTACTTTCAAGATAAAAACTAAGTTATTCACCTTGTACGCTTTTACTGCCTACTCACAGCTACTGCTAAGGCTACATATGGGAGCCCCACTACCATACTCAGACTTTGTGGTAGCCAGGCCTCAACCGGTGGCCTCAACGGTCTCAACCTATTCCCTGACCACGGCTGTAAGGGCGCTGCTTGAGCAAGGAGCAACATGCGTCCCCGAAGAAGTAAAGAACTTAGAAAATAGAAACCGTCCAGCAACGACGCCCGTCTTCCCCCGAATGAGGCAAATGGCCATCCACTGAACAAAAGAACACGAGGACTCATCTCACTCTCACTCCTCCCAAGCTTCCCATGTCTGCAACATTGTACAGATTCGGAAATGCAATTGCTCGTTGTTTTTTTTSKSSGGRGGGGGGGGGGGGGGRGGGGGGGGGGGGGGGGGGGACGCAATTGTTTTCACTGTTATGGAAACCTGAACAGAAAAATATTTAAAAATTTGTTCTATCTGCGCTGAAAAAGAATAAAAAATGTAACTAGTCTAAGAGCAGAAATTTTCCTCTCCCGTCTGCCCGTATGTACCCTGCACCCTTCTGCACCCTCTCTTCGCCCGTACATCTGTGTTTGATCGTTCTACGCTTGCTCGGTCGCGGTGTATCCGTAAAGGACCCTACGTTTTTGTCCCCCTTCGTCCTGTCGTCCCCCGAACGACGTATCTCACCATCCACTAAACAAAAAGAACACAAGGAGGCATATGACTCGCACTACTCCCAAGCTTCCCATGCGAAATATTATTTCTTCTAGCTGCGCTGGAAAAGAAAAAGAAATGTATTACTAATAAGCCTAAGAGCAGAATTTTTTCTCTCCGTCTACCTGTATGTTCCCTGTACCCTTTCTTCGCCCGTTTGCCTGTGCGGGGCCCTCGCTCGTATCTCTACGTATTTGCCCCCCGCTTCCTCTCCATTTGTTACAAAACTGCTTTGGTCGCTCTCTCTCTCTCTCTCTCTCTCTCCACCAACTAATTAAGTTCCTATGACCAACTGGTAATCGACTTTGCCCTCTCCATAATTTATGATATCTATTACGGACCGTGCCTTTTCTTCGTTACGGCTATGCTTGTCTTCATTCTCTCTGCTGCGGTACCCATGTCGGGCCTCCTCACATCATCTTCCTCAGTGCAGTCCTCCGCCAATCGAAGCATCTCGGCAACCATGTTCTCCTCATCGAAACCCTTTCGAATCTCCTCTGCCACACAGGCATCTAGAACCCCCTTCATAGCAAGATGACCAGTCGAGAGAGAACCAAACGACTTTACCCAATCAGCTAGCGTTATTCCCTGGCCATCTGTCACCACGATCGCCTTCTTCCCCGTCATGAGCTCGAAGATGACCACGCCAAAACTGTACACGTCAGCCTTGACCGTTAGCTTACGGTGAAGTGCATACGAAGGGTCCATGTAACCTAGTGTTCCGGCAGCTCTCGTCGACCTCACAATGTCCTCAGCTGTCGCATCATACACTCTCTCAACGAAAGTCGCCAGCCCAAAGTCTGCCACGACCGCATGGATCTCCCCATTACCTAGATCGCGCAGCAGAACATTGCTGCTCTTGATATCTCGATGAATGACTTGAGGGTCTGCACCGCAGTGAAGGTATCTGATCCCCTCTGCGATCTGATGGGCTATGGACGCTCGCTGTTTCAGAGTTAGTGGCAGGAAGCCGCGCTGCTGCCCACGTACCGACGACGGGTTGTGTAACCTCTGATTCAAGCTACCGCCTGGGAAGAACGGGTAGACGAGGGCCGATTGGCTCTCGTCCTCGCAATAACCAATCAGCCTGACAAGATTGTGGTGATGAAGTCGGCTGAGAGTGTTCACTTCAGCCGCGAACTGTTGTCGCTTGCTTTCAGTCAATCGCCCCTCCATGACCTTGATTGCCAGGGGCTCAGAGTCGTCACTCAGCTGAGCCCAGTACACGTGTCCAAACGCCCCGCCTTTGCCAATCATGTAATCCCTGTGGAAACTGCCTGTGAGATGCCTCAGCAGCTCGAGCGGGAAAGCCCGAATAAAACTGGGTTGAAGCCCTGCGACCAGTGCGACGTTCTCCGCATCCGACCGACCATGAGCCCCGGCGGTGGGGAGCTTCTTGTCAACGTTGACGTCAGCTTGGCGTTGCCGACGGCGATGGCAGATGTAGACCAATCCAACGACAGAAATTGCAACGGCCAAAGCAGCTACGAGAGGAACGAAGATAACGACGTACTGGCGGCTGCCTGACCCGCTCTTGGGCAGTCGGATTGGGACTGGATCGAGAGTGAGAGACGGAGAGGGGAAGGAGAGGGGAGAGTTTTGCGAAGAAGATGGCGATGGCGAGGATGACGAGCGGCTGTCGATGGGAGAGGAAGTGGACATGGTGTCCTCCCAGGGAGCCGAGAAGGGAGGTACACTGGGAGAGGGGGGAGGGCCCATGTATAGAAATGCTCGATCTATCTCTAACTCAACGATTGTACCGCCCGATGTCCCGAGATACAGCCGGAGGTGTGTGCTGTTGGCGCCCTGCATCGCCAGTCCCCTAAACCCATCGTTGGCCGACGAAGCCAACGTCATGACTGTTCTAGCCTTGCCGCATGGTGATTCAAGTGTAATCCAGCGAAGAAAACCATATTTCTCCGTCAGAAAGATGTTGTATCCGTCTGGACTGACGACAAGCTCTCTAGGTACCTCGAATTTCGCCGTGCTTGCATCCCCATCCTGGAATCCTGCAATGCCCGTACCCGCCACAAGTGTGGGGGGCTTGTTGGGTAATGGCTCCATGGCCCATATCTTGTTAAAAGTGCTGTCGATAAAATAAAGGCACGTGCCATTAGGATCGAAGCTCTGCGGCCGAAACCAGATTTCGCTTATGTTAGCACTGCCAGCTACACCCTTTTGAAAAATTGCCAACTGCTCGAAATAGGTCTCGTTCGACAGAGGAGGATTTGGTGGAGCTGCCACCGAGGCAGATAGTAGGCGATAATTAGGTGGATAAGCATCAGCAACGAAGATCTTCGTCTTGTTCGGATTCATTGCCAAGCTCATAGCCTTGTCAAGGTTGGAGAAGCTCCACGATCGATTGCCATCCTCGGTAGATAAAAGTGCAAGCTTTGACTTCGAATTTTGTGTGGGCCACGTGCTCTCACCCAGTACCAACTGCTTCGTCGAGCCTGGAAGAAGGTCCATACCATTGACGTCCGCCATAACCGGCGTCCAGCCGCTGCTGCCGATCTGCTGCACCACAGGAACCCCAACGCTTGTCGTGTTTGTGTTTGTCTCTGGCCACCAGTAACTGATCCGTACACCATTCTCCGTACCGTTGTACGGACGGCTGAGGTTCAACTTCCAGTACGACACCAGCCTGTGATCCGGTGGAGCATTAGGCAAGGAGCATTGCGACTCGAGAATGAAGTACAGAACAGGCTCGTTGGGGTCGGACGTTATGCTCCTGGGCGTGGAGAAACAGTCAAGCGGTGGATTGGAGGAGGAGGACACGTTGAATGGCGACACCGCTGGCTTGTGTTGAAACACTACCTTGCTTCCCACAACAATTGAGCTGTTTACGATCGTCAGAGGGGCACCAGCAAGCACTGATCGACGCTCCACATAGCCATCTACCTTCCTCCGGAGGGGAGCATCCTGAGAGTAGTGGTGCTCATTCCACAATAGAGAAGCACTCCATCCTGGCGTCAATCGTGAAGAGGATCGTGGCGAAGTCGATGACAACAACGATGATGATGATGATGATGATGATGATGATGATGATGATGATGATGATGATGATGATGATGATAGGTTGAATTCTTCATAATCCCTTCTTCTTCCATCTGCATTGATATGCAAAACGACAAGGAATGTCCACACTGATGCGACTAGCAACGGAAGGCCAAAGAGAAGGATTCGCTGTGAATCATCTCGAGCCATGGTGAGTTCCGTTTGACCTACACCCAGCCACGGCGGTCAGGCACTGTCTGGTCCTTGAGTGTGCGTGTGATTTGCAAGCAGCGGTTGTTCCGTTTGACCTACACCCAGCCACGGCGGTCAGGCACTGTCTGGTCCTTGAGTGTGCGTGTGATTTGCAAGCAGCGGTTGCACCTTGCAACCCACGAAAAATCACCCCCTACCGCCTTCTTTGACTGAAGCGCCTCCGCCACACGTCAATTGCACAGCCACAGCCTGCACGCAGGGCACAACGATGAAGATGACAAGACGATTGCCACGCATTCTAAATCACCGAGCAGTTGCAACATCTGGAATACACTTCACAAGCACAAGCACAAGGACCAGCACCAGCACACTGAACTATGAAGCTTTCGGCATCCGGGTGTATAAGAATAAGAAAAAAGGGGGAAACGAAAAAGAACAAGAAACGAGGGATAGGTTAGCGACAACAGGAGAAGAGAGGGGAATGGCAAATGACTCCCCATGCCTACAAATCCCCTTGGCCGGGATCACGGTCACCGGCCATGACAGGGAGGTCCCACCGGCCTGGTCACGGCCTTCGCGGCCAAGTGGCGGCCCAGGAGGGGGGTTTGTGGGGGTGAGGGTCGGGGATTGGGGTTGCCCAACCTCGTCCCACCCCATAGGGGGCGAACTTGTACGGGGGTGACATGCCCGGCGTACCCAGGGGACACCAAAAGGGGGTCAAATTTCCCCCCCCCCTTTTTGGGAAGTGTGGCAACTCTGTGCCCACTGAGACTTGCCCAAACCCGGCCTTATCTTTGAGTTTCGTGATATCTCACCAAAGGGTGTCTATGGGACGGGGTTCGAAAGGCTCGAATGGGGGAGTAAAGCGGTATGATATAATTTAGTTTTTTTCTTCTTTTTTTTTCTTTTTTTTTTTTCTTTTTTTTTTTTCAGATTCAATAACGAATTCTGTGGTCACCTCAGGCAAAAGATGTTGGGAAAAGTTTGAGGGAATCGCCACACAGGCTTTCGAACGAAGGCATTTTTCGAAAGGTGTCAGACTTTTCTCGAAAGTCTACTCGTCGAAAGGAACCCCCCGCAGGGACCGCGTCGGAGCGTTAAGCGCCGCTTTAGCGGAGCTCCCGCGGCTCGTACCTACACTCAGGCCATTCAGTTGGCTATGGCGTTAACGCTTCGTTCTTGGTTAAGCACAATGGTTGCTCTGTGGCAGTGGTTCCCCTCGGATCAGGGAAGGAGCAGGTTCGCAACCCTTGCTGTCCTACAGGTGACTACGGGCACATGGTTAAAGGGGTAATTTCCGATCCCTTATAAACTTTGGGGGCTGGCTTTTTACCCGATTTCTCTCGGTTTATTGAGGCTTTAGGTCTAGTAAATTGTGGTATTCAAGTAGGGCGAATTTTTTGTTTAATTTGCTTGTTTAGGGATTGTTCTGCTTATTCCTTCGCTGAAAAAGACGATATGGCGGCCCTGGAAACCAACGAAGGGGTTCAATCGATGACACAGGCAGAAAATGCCAGAATCAAAGGCATTTTGGCTGACTGCTACAACCAGGGACTCCTGTCGGAGGAGCCTCGTCCAAAGCAAGTTAAGGTCGGTGAAGACTACGTGAGAGAAGTGGTCAACCCGGACTTTTACTTGATACAGGAACAGTGGCTCCTTGATACAGGAACAGTGGCTCCTTGAAAATGCCGTGTCGGTCTTTTTTGGAAATGACTCCTCGTCACTCCCGATCAAAGTCAAGGTTAGACTCATCCGAATGTTCGAGACTGCTTGGGGAAAAACCAAGGCGATTGATGCCCCCCCCAAGCGAGGAGTGTTCCACAACGAATGTTTTAATTTAATTACTCATGTTGCCTCGTCTCCAAAAATTGCTGCGTCGATGTTGCTAAAAAAGGAAGATAAAATAACCTTGGATGGGAAGACGTACACTATTTCTTTTCGGTCATGGATGGCGGAAAATGAACTGTATGATTGGAGAGAAGCACACAGGTAGAAGTTCTTCTGGGTACGTTGCATGTATGTGCCGGTGGCAGCTCTGCCATACGTGGCAGCAGCGGTCAAAGAGGCTTTCGGGGTAATTTTGAAAAAATACGACATGTACTCCGAGTCGACTGCACCTGAACTTAAGAACATTCGGTTTGACCTTGAACTAGGGGCCCGCATCCGTTATAAACCGTATTTAATAATCGACATGGGAAAAGGGGGGTACGTCGAAATTGAGGTAGTGCATGCACAGACACCGTGGTGCAAAGCGTGTAGGCAACACTTCCACTCTGAGGAAGACAAGTCTTGTCCGGCCAAATCTGCTCAGAATCACCCTGTCTGATCCAAAGCCCTGCAACAAAAATCAGGGAAGGGAGATCAGGATATGGGAAAGAACAAGGAGTCGGAACAGATCAAGTCGAATGATCCGGGTACCTCCAGGGACCAAAATAAGGAAGGGCAGGGCGCATCTGAAGTGGAGAAGACTCAAGGAGGAATCCCCTCCGAAGAGGATGGGGGTCAACCGGGCTCCCACCCCAATCGGCCAGAGGGTCAGAAAGATGGGTCCGGGGGTTTGGAGGAAGGATCGTCGGAGGGGGATCACTCGCTTCAGGGGCGACAGGAGGATACCGAAATGAGGTCAACCCCCCCCTATAAAGATGCGCTGCTCAAACCAGTACCCGTAGGTAAGAGAAAGGAAAATAACGTTGTTGTCAAAAAGAAGAAGGGTAAAAAAGCGGGTCCCACCAAAGAGTGGAGGAGGAAGTTGAATTCAGGTAGTAAACCCGCTGAGAAGGTCGACAGCGTAATCGATCAGGGTATGGTTCGGCCTCCAGTGAGTAAGGGCTCTCTCCGTAAGGATCCGGCAAATCCCGACCAGTGGCCTGGAATCTTCGGGAGCAGGGGGAGATAGAATGGAAGTGGTTAATCAGGTTCTCTCCCCCGGACCCACAGGTGGCCCAATGTTAAAGCCGACCTTACAGTTGAGGCCCCCCCCTGGATCGCCTATCAAGAATGACCTCTGTCCTACACAGAATGGCCTGGCAACTAACGAAATACCGACTCCATAAAACATCACCGATACTGTGGTGGGTGGAACCGTTGGTTGAGACGCCTCTTCTCAAAACAGGAAAGGAGGGTTTCGTGTCTATTTATGATAACAAGTTATATGAATTAAGTAAGGAACAAGTACGTGACTCGGATCAATCAGATAAGGGCCTCAGGGGTCTTCATGAAGAGCTAGGAGAACACAAAAGGTTGCCGCTTGTGGCAAAAGTGAATGAGGATATCCTCTTAGATGTGGACGAGCAAGAGGATGAGGGAGATGGGGAATCGGAACAAGATTTCTTCTCACCTCCCGAGGGAATGTTCAATGAGCTAGAAGGGGAGCTGGAAGCAGAAACAGGTGTGACAGAAACAGGCGCAGCTTTGGGTGTTGCGAAAGGGAATCTGACTTCCCCCTTTGTGTTCTCTACCCCAGCCTTGTCTCCCCAGCAAGCCCGCAAGGGTGGTGCTGTACAATCGTGGTTTGCAAATTTTTCATCCCCTTCCCCCATCAAGAGACCCCGGATTGAGGGTTGTGGCCCCCAATCAGGGCTTTGGGAGGAGGAGGACTATGGGGGGGAAGAGGGAATAGCTCGGAGTTCCCCGCTGAAGAGAGGTAGATCTCGGATCTCTCAATCGGTCCGGCGCTCTTTGGCAATGGCGGCCCCCATGCGGACACTGACTAGGGAAGACAAAAAGAAAGGCCATATCTCTAATTATTTGGTCCCGTTAATCTGGGCGCATGACAGGGTAAATCCCATATTTCTCACCTTGATGAACAAAGATGAGTCTCTGGTTCTTCCTTCATTAATTCTGCGTAGTAGCCTCTCCCCTACAATGATCTGTAATTTGGTGAAAATTCAACTCCTACAGAATTTAGGCGAGGTGGGTCTGCTCCTAGATCCAAAAACTATGCGCCACCTAGTGGATTCCCCTGACGGGGGGAAGGTGGGCCTCACCCTCGTCTTTGCCGATCTGGCCCACGTGACAGATAACAAATCTAGATGGGACTCTTTGAAAATCTATTGGGTTGAACCGGCCCATTTGGTAAATACAGAGTCTAGTACGACCCAGAGCATTAAGTTAGTGGCGGGTTTGACTGCACAGAATGTGGCTGAGTGGCTGGCACAATCGGACAATGAATCCACCCTTCTTTCGGATGCTTTTAGTGATCTGTTGCATAAAAGGAGAATTGGAAAAAATATGAATTTCTCGGTGGGGGAGCTTCACTCCGAAAGAAATTTGAGATCAGAAGATACCCTAGTCCAAGATTACTACATCCAATCAAAGAGTGGTCCAGCCTGCGACCATGGTTCTTCCGAATAAAATTTGTGTCGCAAGCTGGAACGTCCGTGGTCTAGGTGACCAAGATGACACTTTTAAAAGACAACGCTTAGCCTCTTGGATGCACACGAAACATATCAACATAGTCTGTCTACAAGAAACAAAAATTGGCCCTAACAAAATGGCTGGTATTCTAAAGTGGTGGAGAGGTCCGCAAATCTGGGCCCCTGCAGACAAAACTAGGGGGGGTGTTGCGGTTCTCGTTGACAGGAATTTGGAAGTTGACATTATTGATTCCTGCGCTGACACAGATGGCGGATGAGTCTGGCTTAAGTTGGTCGTGGCAGACGAGGATTGGGCAATAGTATTTGTGTATGCTACAGTTGATTACTCACAGCATATCACTTTTTTTGCAGACCTGCCTAAAATAATCCCCGACTCAGAAAATTTATTAGTGTTAGGAGATTGGAACTGCACTGTGAACTCGGGACTGTATTCAGCGAATATTTTTCCGATCAGGGATGATGCGCTACTCCTCCGTTCTTTCATGGAGCCGCAGGACTTGTTGGATATCTATAGAACATTAAACCCTGAGTCCCATTGCTTCACCTGGAGGGACCCTCGCCCCTCTGCAAATACAGCTCGTCCAAAAAGAAGACTCGACTTCATTCTGGCTCGAGGAGATCCGTGGAACCGGTGCATCTCAGCAAAGGTTCCTATTGTGTCCATGTCGGATAATTTACCGGTAGAAATGCATATTTTAGCTAAAGACATGG